CTCTCTCTCTCTCTCTCTCTCTTTCTCTCTCTATTTTTTATTCTAATGGAACCTTATATGTATTACAAGTAGTATTTTGGCATTGCCATGACCATATTTGGATCCAACATCCTAAAAGGTGCAATGGGGTTGGACTAGTGCCTAGAACTACATAAAGTATTTTAGTAAAATAGATATATATTTGTTAACATGGAGAATCAGAAATTAGTGACCAATAAGTGATGGAATCAGAGAGCCCAAATTTATTTTTTGATGATAATAAATATCATTTGACTTTTAATAGGATATAATGGAGAAAAAGGATTCATGTAGCCAACCCCACGTAGTGGGATAAAGGCTTGATGTTGTTGTTGTTGTTGTTGTTGTTGTAATAAATATTATTTGATTGTTGTTAATTTATCCTATAATTTATTATTGCATATATTTCTCTGTGTATTAACATTACAGATTTAGCATACACCAAGCACTATAAGAGAATCAAGGCTCAAGATTGAGTAGTTTAGGTTTGATCTATACAAAAGTCTATAATTTTTATTTATTTATTTGTATTTCTTGAGTCAAATATATATTAAAGATGTATGTTAGCTTAGCAATCGTGTACACACACACTGGGAGTGAAATTAAATATTTTAATTTTTCCGAGGATCATACTGGATGAACTTGATTGTACTGTATGATTTGTTGCTGCATAATTAAAATATTTTTATTTAAATGAAAAAAAAAATATTTTAAAGTATAATTAATCATATAGTACGAACCACATCAAACTAGAAGATTAGTTATAATCATAAACCTTGTCATTAATTAAATTAGGCAAAAAAATTAAATTTTAATTTTGTTATATTTGTAGTGGAGAAGCCTAATCATATTATATGATGTATTAAATATTATCTAATTTAATCTTGTGGTTAGGTAATCAAATCAGAATTAATTAATTCATCATATTGTATTGTACGATGATCCCCATCATAATGTATAACTTGATTTGATCCTAGGATGATAATTAACTGCCAGTGATCATACTGGACAAAAATCCTATTTAATTGAACTAATCATAGTGTAGTCTATTGATTTCATATTGGATGATCAGTTCAAGCTAGCTAAACTAATTATACAGACCCTTATTCATTGTACAGTACTAATAGGATGAAATTAACAAATTGTACGGTATAATCCCATATCGTGTTGTATGATCAGAAGTGACAGAATTCAAATTTTAGAGTTTTTAAAGCCCTTTATTTAAGCTTTCTCATTAAACTTTATAAGAGTCTTTTTGGCAATCATTGGATTATTTCTTCTGAGAGATAGCATGAAGAGAGAGACTAGAACTTGGGAGAGAAAGGGTGAAGTTTGTGAGAGAGGGAAAAATCCTTATAGGATTCAAGGGAGTGTAAGAGAGAGTTTCACACAGTTGATCTAATGAACTTTCACCTAAGTTCCTCCATGCATTAAAGTTTGTCTTGACGGAAGTTTCGGGAAGAAGACACCTTTGGTTTTAAAGGGTCTAGCTACTCCGCCACACCAGGGAAGATAAAAGTGATTCAAGGTTCTCGATCTACCTTCACTACGAGTGAAAAAGATTCAATGTTTGCTGCCTTCATTGACCGGGTGAAAAAGGATTCCAGGTTCGCTGCTTTCACTAGGAGAGTAAAAGGCCTCAAGGTATTCTACCTTCACCAAGATTGTGAAAAAGCGCCCAAGGTTACCTGCCTCACAAGGAGACTAAAAAGGATTATAGTACTCTACCAACCAAATTGGTGAAAGAGATTATTGTAAAGGCTTCTCCTCCTAGCTGTGAGACTAAAGGAGAGAAACTAAAAATTTAGTGTAATACCTAGAGAGGATTCTGGGGAGTGGATATAGGTCATTGTTTGACTGAACCACTATAAAATCTAGTATGTTCATTATTTATTTGTGCATATTTATTTTCTAAATTTTTATTTCTTGCATGTTTACTTTCTTGCAAATTTGAGTTGGGGATATTGAGATTATTTGTGTTCATTTTAAAATATAAAGGAAAGAAATATATATTTTTATGTTTATTTTTTTTCTACAAAATTAAAGAAAAAATAGCATTTGATTTTTATATCATTAGCTTCTACATTACAAGATCTAATTTTAAAATTAAGTTATGAATATGGTTTAAACTTTCATAAAGATATTTTTGAAGAAAAAAAACTTTTAAAAATACAAATTCACTTTCCTCTTGGTGTTCCTTAGGAGTTCAACGAGGTTTAACACCCTCCCTTGAACTTTCAATAAGTAGTTTATAGAGATGGATGGGATGATCTAGGGAGTTTTGGAGAAAGCTCCAAGAGGCATTCAAATGATGGAGATGTTAAAAGGCTACTCAAATTATATAATTTGAAAACAACTATAAGGTGTTAGGGCATTAACCTCTATGCTATCTATAAATCAAGCTTACAATCCCAACCTTTACAAAAAGTCTTGCCCTCTACCCAGATAATGTAAGGACCATTACAATAGTGATCAAAGAACCTATTATCACCTAAATCTACATATGGAAAGTACATACATTTATTATGTATCTTTATGATATTTCTTTGTGTATTTTTATATTAGATCAAATCTTAAGGATCATGTGTGTGAAAATTTACATGTGTATAAAAAATTTCTATTTGGATTGTTATAGCACTATCTCTCTAGGTAGTATTATCTTCTTTATTTCTAGGTAAAAAAAAAAAAAAGATTATCTAGGAGCATTGTTATGTTGTGTGTGGGGTGGCACTAGTCTCTAGTAACAACATTGTTGAACTCTTTATATTCTAAACAAAAAATGAAATCATTATGAGTGCTATGTTGGCCCTTCCACGTCATTTCATATGTGTAAACTATGAATTATTTTTGTTATGTTAAATACAATAAAAATGTGTTATTTTAGTTATTTTTGTACATGAATTGTGCAGGTAAAAGCCAAATTTATAAATGTTGGGCAATGCCGCATCGTCAACAAGTTTAATGATGCAATACTATATTGATCCACATTGAAGCGCCGATTTCAACGCGATGGGCCCAACCTTCTTTATTCGCTAGTATTGTGGCATAACATATGTTAGGGTCTCAGTTTGCCACAACACTACTACACCCAAAATTAGCACTGCAGTGTTGTATGTCTCAAAAAAATTTAACATAAGAGTGTCAGCCTTTCCAGCATTATGACATCAAAAAGTTACTCTAAGTGTCGCAGCACTTACATTTCATAGCATTGTGGTGGAGCAATTATAACTACAATGAGCCTCGCCAACTTAGCCAAGATATACATCGATTCAGGTTATGACCATGCCACATCACCCAATGCTGCAGCGGAGCCAACATCACAGCGTAGAGGAACTTGTTCATTTTTCACCATCGCAGCGCACCTTGTCAAGCGTTGTAGTGCTCAAGTTCAATCATGCACTTACTATAAAATAGAAGTTAATTCTATTGTTTGGAGAGTTCAGTTGAGTGTAATTTAATACTTTTTCAATGTATTTCTATAGTGCCCCCTTAGAGTAAAGTCTAAGGGAGGTTAGGGAAGTGCATGATATAATCTTAGAGGGACTAGCAAGCATTTGTGTAAGAAACTCTATAAGTGGAGGAAGTAGTTGTCACGACCCGACCCGA